GATGGTTAACGATGAAAGAAGAGGTGTAAACAATTTTTGAAGTCGCTTCGGTCTGACGAGCGTGTCTCGCTTCTGATCCGCTAGATGGAACGCGAATAAAGAGAGACGCTATGGAAGCCTCGAGAAAATCATAACAGCGAAAAAGACACTTTCAATATGTAAATTGATATATTTATTTAATTATAATTATCGAATAAAATCATGTTATCGAATAAACTTGGATTAATGTTTTTAAAAAAAGAGTATCGAGAAAAATTCCTCTGCATTAAATAGTAGTTTTTGGCGTGCTAATGATTTTGTCTGGAAAGCGGCGCTGTTCACGGCATCATGAGTAAATACAAGGTTGCCCTCGTATGCAAGAAAAGCGACAAGACAAATAGTTGACAATCGTGATGATTGCGTAGGCGTTAGCATACCAACCGATTATCCTTTTCTTCAGAAGGATAATTTGAAAATTCCATATGAATAAATTCTTTCGTACGATGTCTATATATTTGAACCTCGCATTGTAACTAAAGGAGGTATAAATACGGTTAAGCCAACGGCGTTCATTGCGTCAGCAAAAGTGAAAATAAACGTGCCACGATCTTCTCTAGATTCATAGAAATATTTCTAATCTAAGTTGATTGTTTTTTTTTTTTTTTTTTTAATATCATTTTTCTATTATATAAAATATTATGTATATACATATGTACGCTGAATATAATATACATATAATATACACGATTTATCATATATATTTTAATACATATATCTAATATAATTGAAATAAATATAACCTGTACTTTTATAAATTATTTAAAAAAGATAAAAGAAAAACAGAGCAGTCATTATAGGTTTTCCCCAAACTTTTATTTAGAGATAGATTATCAATAAATGGTTATCGTGCTTTTATTATCAACTGTTATCTTGCGTTCAAAGTCGAAGGATCGAGACGATTTCCACCCGGAGATGAGGCTTCCTATTTTTAAAAGAGAGTATCGCCATGTTCTTTGGCCCATTACAACATAGAGCCAATTTCGACTAAATACTCAGCGAAAGCGCATCTTTGGCCTTTCTCTTTGACAAATTATCAAGAATGGTCAATCGTCTTTTTTTTTTGATCATCATAAAAACTCAATGGTTTCCTATTATATTTCGCAAAATTAATTCGAATTCTATCGACTTTGCATATAAGATAACAAAAATCGAAATTATTAATAATCGAAATTAATAGAAGAAACTAACATTTTATCTTATGACAGTTTAAAGATAAGATTATATTCAAAATATTATTTATATTTTATAGTTTTAACGAAGCTTTAGCTCAGTTAAAAGATATTTTAAAAAGTTAACAAATTTTCATAATCGATCTTTCAAAATGCAATTATATATTTTTAAATCACATTTTTATACTTTATTATTAAACAAAGAGAATTCATTAAATGACCGATAAATAGCGAGGGAAAAACGGGTTACTGTACCAAGAACGTTGCATACTACTGGAACCCTGTGGTTAAGATAATGAGAAAAGAAGCACGGCGCCATCGGTCGTCTTCCTGCTCCTCGGTCTCCCCTTCTCTTTCAGAGTTGTTACTTCGCGGACGTCACGCGTCTAATATACGGCACGTGTGTGCAACGCGACACAAATTGATAATGTAATAATAACTTTTGTCAAAAGGCAAGCGATTGTTTCACATTCCACATAGTGTCATAGATTTTTTTTTCTTTAAGATTTCCAAGCTACAACTCGATGCAACGGTGTTCTTAGTGACAGTCATTTTTATGCCAGGCGAGGCATTCAACTATTTTTAGAGAGAGTACCGAAATGATTCATCCCATGCTTTAAAATAGCGGTCGAGAATCAACAAAATATGAATGGTTGAACGAAACTTCTTGAAAATACTCGCTCTACTGTTTTCACAATCTTTTTCCAAAATTAAAGTATTAAGTTATATCAGTTTGCTAATTAATTACACTTATTAACGCAATTATTCCGATTCTATCGATATATAACAATATTAAAACAAAAGATCGGAAGAAATATGTGTATGCCTCTTCGATATTCTCTAATAGACAAAAATAACAAAGCATCGCTATCATCTTCTCTAATTCAATTTTTTTATCATATCTTTATTTTTGTTTTCCCCACTCTTTCTTTTCCGTTATTTCTCATTATCTAGCTTGTATTTTACGGTCGTTCTATGTTCGATATCAACAATAGCTATCGCAGTTGAAATGATCGCAACGCTAAACGCGAAAAGTATCGAGCACTTGCCAGTTGGGACACGCGATTGAATGCATCGTGACGATTAATTCGATTACGGTAAACCCATTTATTTTCATCGGTCAGAAAAATTTCGACATCGAACGAATATGGCGCAAAAGACCATACGTCCTTTCTCCAGACTTGATAGCTGCCGCGAGAACAGAAGGGCGGTGCCATCCAAGAGAATAGTGTCGCGCGCCCTCTTTCTTTCTAATATCCTTTTTGGATTGGAAACCATCTCTCTCGTTTCGATACATGTATATAGTGTGTTCGCGCAACCCGAACCCTCCGCGTGCCACGCGCGCGGCAAATCGTTGAAACAAACGCGGCCGCGAAAGCCTCGTTAGTTGTGTAGAAGAGAATGCATTCGAGCCGGCTTTAATTTCACCACCGGGGACCATTATCGAGTTACGCGCCCCGGGCCAACCGAGTATCATCGATAATACGGTAGTGCGAATAGTATGCAGCTAACCATAGCCACATACCATACAGTGGCAAAAGCATTCTTCGTGCATAGAAATTTACTTACGAAAGCTGAACTAGTAAAACGCATAGCTATGAGAGGAAGACGCGGAAGAAACTTCTCTAATGAATCGACGCGATTTAATGAGGTCGCCGGATATTTTTGACCCGAAGAAATTATCACGTTACCGCGCTCGTTAACACTGTGTATAGCAAATTGACAAGGAATTTCAACGAAATTTTTGAATTTTTAACGAATTTTCGACGAATTTCAACAAAAATATTTTTTTCTTTTCCCTTCGCTTTTTTATATATTTTAAAACAAATTTAGAAATCGTTAATAATCAGGATCAGATATATTATAAAACAATCAGGATCAAGTCGCACGAATTTTGTTTTCAGATTTCTCTATCACAAAATTATAATCATTCTTCAAATGATATAGGTATAAAAAAAGTGCAAATTTGGTTTTTAATTTTATATAATCTCGTCACATGGTATAAATGTAATATTGTGATATACAGAAGCTCGATAATTTTTATATTGCTGACCTTGCCTTACATTCGCTCACTCTGAATAATTACGAAATTTATTCTTATTAAAATTTTATGCTCTTTAATTGATCTGGAATTGCATCAAAATTCGTCGTACAACAAGTAAGGTCAAGGACGCTATTCTAATCACGTCCTACTTGTTGCATGTTAATTCCGCTTTAGCATCCCTATCTGATATCCTCTTTCTGATCGATTCAATACCCTCCATATAACAAATTTTTTGGAAAAAAATAGCTATTATCAGAAACGGATTGAAAAATAAATTTATCCGATTCGATAAATTAATCATCTTTTTGAAATCGAAAAAACAAGTCTTGGAAAAAAACAGTACTGAACATCAGGATTGCAGCTTTTACTTCGATTAATCGACCTTATTCGCAGCCGATGCGGAAACCGAAACTTCTAACGATGTTTGAGTTTTTAGGTCACTGTCAATTGATGCCACTAGTTATGTTTCCACCTAAATGAATTACGCGTGAATTAAAATTTCTTCGTATCTTTTTACCACGATATGATTTGTTTAATCATATGATCTGAAATTATGATTCTCTATCTATTATCTATTGAATATTCGTAATATGGTTAACTAAATTTTTGGTTAACTAAATTTTATTATTTAGAATGTACAAAAGATCGGTTTATATTTAAATTATTCGATATTTGAAAATAGTTGAATCATTATTATAATTTCTTTCTTATATTACATTTAGATAATATAAATTTGAAGACAATATATTTCAGGAAATTCTAAAGTTTTTATTTTACATTAAAAAACTCAACAATTCGATAATTCGATACGAATAAAGAAAATGAGTCCATATTATTATTATTGGAAAATGATTATACAATTTCTTCTACAATATCAAAAAAATTATTGAATTATATAGTTAGATGTTGTTTTATACAGATGCTGATGTCGAACACCTTGCCGTTTAACTGGCGAAATATGCGTGTGTAAACGCGACACTTCATGGCACAATCAGTATCGTAACTGTCTAGCCGCATACGTGCCACAACAAGGAATGATTTAGCGCGTTCAATGCGTTAAACGGTGCACGTGTACGCCCACATCATTGAAAGATCATACAATCGATCTTTAACGTAAAAGTGGTTTGCGATGGTAATTCGATAGAGAAATAGAGAGGCCACAAATGTTTTTCACACTATACTGTTGATCATATTCGAGAAGATATTACGACGAATTAATCGAGCAAATTGCTGTTGAATGTTAAATTGATTGTTGGTAAGAGTAAATAAAACGCTAACACTGTATTTCACGCGGTACATACATAAGCAAAACACTTCAGTCAATATATAGTATTTTTTCTTAGTTTCGTATTTAACAAATTTTTTCCTCTAATACATTATACAATTTTGAAAAAAATATAAAATCGTTAATATTTAAAATATCATTAAATCTTTAATGTTTTTAATTAATTTTAAAGAAATATATGATTCAATTACAATAATATAGACTTTTGGGAACAGTCGATCGAACAGAAACTAATGTGTTTAAAAACAAAAGAGAACCAAGAGACCGGTTAGACATCAAGGAGATCAAGCCACTGGTCAAGTAAAACGAATTTTTCATGTCATACTTTCCTTCGATTATTATTAATATTTGCAAGCAGACACGTAAAGCAATATAATTCAGATAGTTTGATTTAAAATTAGTTTTTGAGATATGTGAATTATAAAAGTCGAATAAAATTTAAAAGAGAATCACGTAAACTCACCTCGATAAGGTGCCCTTGAGCAAAGGATTCCTGTCGTCATAGTATCCACCGGACGACGGCATCTTCAAGTAATCCAAGCAATAGGCACGTGGCACTTGGCACTGACACTACGGCACTGCATCACTGTCGCGTGATCTGTTAACTTTCCATTCACCGTACCGATGTTATATTCGGTTAACTAGATACACGATGCATCGTTTTCCATAAAAAAACAAAAATGATAAAGTGAATTGAAAAATAATTGACACTCACGTAAACGCATGTCACGAAAAAACGTTAAATCATGAATTAAATAACCATATTTTGTAAGTTAAATATAATGACATTATTAAGATCCATTCGTTAAAATAACAATTAGATAACACTATTAACAAGTAGTTAATACGTTTTACGAATCAACCCTCATCAATTTTATTTAAATGACTTTTTTATTTTCTTTGATGTTGTAAATTAATCTTCAAGCTGCACTTGATGGATTTTTCCAAATTTGCGACCTAAACATAAAAATTTTCATTTAGCTATTTTTATATATTCCTTTATCTATTCGTTAGTTTCATTCATACAAATATGTACAGTTGCAAAATATAATTGCCTATCAAATATTTTTTTCTTATAGTTAGTTTAAATTCATTCAAAAATTAGCATAAAACATTTCTTAACGCAATATTGAAAATATTAATGAAATAAAGCAAATAATTGTATAATTAATCGTTCCTTAGTTTGTCACATTCAGTGGTTATTTTCCATTCGAACCGTTGTCGAGGTCAACGTTATTACAAACAGTTGGCGCCAAAATCCTGCTACGTTCAATCCGCTTGGGTGAAAGTCCTTGCAGTAGGCATTCGAGGAAGCATTGTAGTAGGTCGCCGAGAATTTTCATGTTTCTTGGCGAACTTTTCGAATACACTACTTAATAAACTCGATCAAATGATTCATTGTTTTCTTCTTCATCGATCGAGTATCGAGGTATCGAGTATCGTTATTACGAGGATATACTTTGAATAGTCAAAGAATAACGATTCATATATGTCTTTCAGCTAAGAAACGTTAAGATAAGTGTTACGGTTGAAAGCGGAACGTACCAGGTAAGCCCATCGAGTACGTCGTTTATTTATAAACTAAGGAAACCCGGGAGAGAACGCAGGAACGACGGAGGCCAACAGAATGTCCCTCGCGTTTCGTTTACCGTTCGTAAACTACACTCTGCGCGTACTTCGAGGACCACGTGTTACTTGTCCGATCTTTCGATTGGTTGTAGGATTTCAAGATGGCGCATCTATTGACCTGTCAATGTAAATTCATGATGTTATGCATTTCTTTTTTAAAAAACTTTAAATTTTCTCAAAACTTTCATTGTTAATTAAAAATAAATATATAATATAAATATATAATATATAAATTATATGACTTTATCTTTTCCTTGTTTTAATAAATAGAATAAATTAAGAAATATGAAATTTAAAAATTATTAAAAATCAATTCTAACTTTTATAAAAGTATAAAAATATTATATTTGAATATTTTTAATAGATATTATTTTTTGAAGAAATTTTGAAAAAATACAATATTTTATGAGTAAACATTTAAGAATATCTAATACATATACAAAGAATATATTCATAAAATATTTTAAAATATTTTATTCTATACGAAGAATCATCCATTGCAATAGTATGTCATAAGCTATAATTATTCCTTTCTCTCGCAGGTTCTGACTCGTCTATGCACTTTCACTGTACCTTCGACGATTCTTGAACCAAAAGCAGATTACAATTGATAAAATGCATTTTATTTATTACTTAATTATTTTATCGATAATAAAATTTTTTTTTATTATTTAGAAATAATTTATACTTTCATAAATTCAAAGCATTAATAAAAAGAATATATAAAATATTTTTGTTAAGATTTTATCGAAAACTCTGATTATAATATAACAAAGTACGTTGTATATTAAATATATCGTATATTAATTATAAATTATAGATATATATATTTTTAATTCGTAAAAATATGCGAATAAATTATAATTCTTTTATGAATTAATGTGCCATTTTTAGCTTAAATTGAAAGTGATTTTACAAAAAAGCAAATAATCTACTTATAAATTCATTTTCAAATAAATCATTTGTATAATTTACCCCAATTTTTTTTAACTTAAAAAAAAATTTCTTTTTACTTTAATAATCCTAATATTACAAAAGATAAACAAATGAATTTAGAAAATTTATATATTAATATTACTTATATATTATATGTTACTAATATTATATATTATTTTTTTAACTGTGAATTAAGACGTTTTTGAAGGATGGGTAACGAGGCGAAAAGTCGAGGAGTAAAAGCGTTACATGATTCAAGGACATACGCTAAGTAGAATCGTGATCCAGTCGATAAGTAGCTGTAAGTGCAACGAACGTTCTATCTTTATAATTTACATATTTATATAAGGAGTTGATTGAAATTAAAAAAATGTCTTCATGAACTATCCTGATCTATTCACGAAAAAAGAGTGAGAGATTCGAATGCTTACTGGAAAATCGGTACCGTAAACGTTCCACTTCTCTTTCATTCTTTCTTTCTTTTTCTTTTTGTTTGACTTCTTTTTTCTTCCATCATTCTTTCTTTCTTTCTCTTACTCTTAAAAGAAAACCGCTCCGGAATCCATGTCTCGGAATGCGAGGCGACGAGACTTAGCTTAGCACGAACGCAACCTGTCCACGCTATTTCCCCCACTCAGACCTGCTGATCCTCCTAACTCGACATGCCCATCCCCACTTAAAGTTTGAACGAGACAAACATGATTGCACTCACACTAAGAAATGTGCCATTATTTGCTACCTCATATCATCGAATGCGATGATGCGTCGCCACTGTCTCAGCTTCTTATTATTCATTTATGTATATATATATATGTATGTATGTATATGTATGTTTATATATATATATATATATATATATATATATAAAATATACATACATATACATACATATATAACGCGTTTGAATTTATCAAGAAACTAAAATTATTCTGCTGATTTAATAAACACTATAAAATAATATTTTTGTTATTTTTCCATAAAATCATATAAAAAATTTTAATTTCATTTGTCTCAATATATTATTAATTGATATATGAAATTTTAAATAAGAATTTTTGTTTACATAAAACATTAAAAATATAATTATATATATAAAAAATTAAAAATATAAAATCGATTAAAGATATCGAAAATAGATAATATTTGACAAGAATTATATTTAGATTTATATTTAATACGAAATTATATTTTATAAAATACGAAAATTTTGTTGAATACAAATGGAATCTGTTCATGTTATTTTCTCTGTCATCATTCCTCCCGTTTTCCTCCCTTCACCTTCTTTTCCACGCTCTTCTACTTGGTATGAGTAACTCACACACTATATCGCGAATATCTATATTTGTCAAATCCCTGTCTGGTGCGTGGATACCAATACTTTACTAGTTATTGTACATGCAACATGGTTTCGCTTATTTATCCTATACATATGTATTTGATACGTGTAGATACAGCACGCGTCTTATTTACCGAATGATAAAGAGAAAAAGAGTGATTAAGTGAGAAAGAGAAACAGAGAGATAGCGCCGCGGACAACATGAGTTATTTTTTAAACTCGATGCACGTCTAAACGATGATCTGCTTTAATAACAAACCGAGTATATCTAATAAAACAAGATATATATATATATATATATATATATATATTTAAAAATATTTTGTAAAAAATTGAATTTAATTTACCATGAATTCTTTTAAAATTGTTATCTGTTTTTTATTTTTGTTTTTTTTTCAAAGCAAAGAATAAAAATTTTAAAATATTAACAATATAACTTTAATCTCTAAAAATAAAGAATCTGATAATATCGAATACTTATAAACATATCAATTTAATTCCTTGATTTCGTAAGTGAAAATAAACAAATTTTGAAATTTATATAAAAATGAATTTCACTTATATTGTTATTATACACTTCACTGCTGTCTATCAAGATTACAATGTGCAATTTCAAATATAAATTCTAAATTTTTAGCTTTCCTGAATTGTATGACATACGTTGTGAATATATATGTAAGGAATATACTCCTCTCATTCGTTTCGCATTGCCGGGCATACAGGCCGCGTTCTGTTTTCTTGTGCACAGTCGCAACATTACGGATCATTCCCTAGGAATAAGGTCGTTCACAAGATCGTGCCAAGAAACACTATTGACCGTTATTTGTGAATGTTTTTCTAATGTATTTAATAATACTTTATTCACATTCATTCGAGAAATATAAAATATGAACAATATTAATAAATATTATCAACATTAATAAATATTTAGATATTAAAAAAAATATAACTAAAAATTCACATACGGTAAAAAACGCGCTTTTAATTATTTGTACCAAGACAGATGAGAATTTCACAATTATTTAAAGCTATATGACAATTTCTTCATACATAATTTTAATGATCAGACTTGATTGTCTAGAAAGTAACGCTCTACATCGACGACCTTGTTCTTAGGATATATACAGGCGTGAATCGTATCAAGTATCTATCAACACTAGAATCAAACGTAAAAGCTTTGCTTGAAATGGATAGAGGGAGCTGATCACAGTTGTCAACGGCGTACGTGAACGGAACACTGGTCGATATGGGGAAAAAGAATACTAGTAAAGAACTGATTGTTGAATAGTACAATATCCATGGTACATACTGGAAAGAATAATTATTCCTTGCGTTCCTCTTCTTTATTATCTTGCACAAAAAAAGAGCACAATGACAGTTCGCTCACGATAATGGCAGATGCGCACGACGGTTTGTCACGTGGTAAAGAATAAAAATTACTCGTTTACACGTGTACACCTACTAGCATTTATATGCATACTTATACACGTGAATTGCGCGTGCGATGTATCCATGGACGTGTATGTGTATATATACGTATATTGAAGTGGTGACTGTACAAAAACGTTACAAGACGGCGCGTGGACGGTCGCGGCTGAACTGATCGTGGGGGTCGAGCCACAGGTGTCATCAGACGGCGGCTGCTCCACCCCTCTGCCCCCACTCGGTTTCCTCACCCGCCTTCGATCCCCACTCTTATTTGATACTTTCACGCACACGTTTAACTATGGAGAAGAAAACGCGTGCGCGCACTACCCGGTTTCCTCTATAATCATGCAATGGCATTTGTTCTATTCACGGCACCTATGAACTAAGCGAATCATGGCACGTGCTTTACATCGCATTTTTTAAACAAGTTTCGATCAATTTTTAATTTGAATTATATTATTTTTAAAATTAAAATAAAAATCATTAACTTGCCATTTTAAACATTTAACATATGTTTACTAACCTATTTAAATATCAGTTATTCATTAATAGTTTTAAATATTATATAACACAAAAATCAATAGAATATGCCAATGAATAAATTCATTTTAGATTAAATATTTATATTATTATATTTTTATTTGTATACTGTTAACAAACGCATAGAAAGGAATATAGTTCTTGATTGATTAATTAAAATATTTTTAGTCATAAGAATTGTGACAAAAATAAACAAGGAATCTACATAGGAAAGACATATTTAAGTTTGGATTATTGAATATAAATATTCGTAATTCAAATAGATATTTATTCAAAAACCAGTGTATTTCGTGGCAAAACATATAACGTCAATTATTGACGCAATGCTCATGACGTATTCTCACTCATTCAGTCGCACTCATACGAATTCCTCCCTCTCTCTGTGATTTATACTCTTTACTAGCTATATGTATATATATATTTTTCTTTATGTTTGCTTATACAATATTTAATATTTTTTTTCTATTTATCAATCATTTTTGTTTCATCTTATACGTATACACATATAGTACCATTAAATTGTTGTTAACGCATACAAAATAAATGCATGGTAATGAAGTTCCAATCTAAAATAGTATGCGACATACAAATATATGCATAAACTTATTTCACATTATAATTGATAATTTGTGATGAAATAGCTGTATATAATAATATTTTTTTTTAATATTAATAATTGTTAACTGACAAATAAAAAATGAATAAATAAACAAATGTATATAATTGAACTTTTTAATTTCTATTAAATTGTATTTTATAATATTATAGCATAATATATTCCAAAAGTATATTTATAAATACAACACATAAATACAATAGTTTTAAAAAACTATTTTTTGCAAAAATGATTTATGTATCTCCATTTATATATCTCTCATGCATTATATATTCATTTTACGAGAAATCTTCACTACCATGCATTTTCATTACTATGAAACAATTCAATGATGCTATAATGTGTAAAATGTATTATTGTAACATTAGAACTATCGATAGTCTAATTACATATACAGTATGTGATATGGGCGTTTAGCCACTGTTATACGGTACGTAATTTCCCACGTACCCAAGAGTTTGTTTTTATGAACGAGCAAATAACACGAGTTTCCACTCATAATTGATAAAAGAAATCACATAAAAAATTTCTAGAGCACACGTATCGATTTATCGTTAAAATCAATATCATGTTCATTCCATTAACGTTAAACTGTTTCTAGAAAAATATTTATCGACCTTCGAGCGGACGAAAATTTGCAAATCGAACTATTTTCTCACCTCTTATGAAGAGAAAGAGAATCTTGATAATTTCTCGTTACTAGTAAAGACAAACTCGTATGATTGGCTCTAAAACAAATTGGCAACCTTTCAGTCGCCCTCGACTTCGTCGCGTGTCACTTGTGAGACTCGCACGACCGTCCTGGGAAACGGAAGCGCCACTCACTTCCCTTCTCATCCAAACGATTCCCTTCTTTTTTATAAAATGATCTTAAGTATGTATACATGAGAGAGAACAAGAGCACGTGATTTGTGGAAATCGTTCCGAGAAGCATTCCGACATATCCATTAATTCATGTGATATTATCAATTATGAAAGTCAGTAGAAAATCATGAATAATGGAAAGATGTTCATATTAGAAGTAACAATTTTCTTTTATCATATGAAACAAAAAATCTTGTGAAAGTTATAGCAATATAAAATATATTATTAATCATTTAATGTGATTTTCGAAATAATTATGGATAAAAATGTTTTCGTTAGATATATGTCACGCCCTATGCCATGCCAACATTTAATGCAAATCTACGTTTTATAAGTAATTGATTTAATCTTAATAATTAATAATAATTAGAGGGACACTAGTAGGTCCGAAAAGCCTCTTTTATACTGTAACGTACATATATATTAATTTTTAATTTGTTTTCATTTTCATTTTAATGACTCTATATAGATATATGAATCATTTTACGCTATTTTCGGCTTAATTCATAAAGAGCCACGTCGATAAAAACAAAATACCGAAATCACGCTAAGCGCAAAAAAATCTCTAATTGTTATTCAAGACTGAAATTACAATGGCGATATATCAGAAGTTTCCCAGGACGAATGATTTGATAACGAAAATTGACCAACATGTTTTTTTTTTAAATTTTTCTACAAGGTCATATCGTAAATATTTGTAAATAATCCCTATAATTTATTGTAAACATACATCTTTGTAAACATACACGATTAAAATGTAAAATTTTCTCTTTAACATAGAAATAAAATAATGATTTTAAAGAAAAAACATAAAAAAATGTTGGTCATTTTTTTCTGTCATCAGTTCGCTTCATTCAACGGACGCTTCTAAAATACTGCCAAATTTTTTTATAAAATCGAGAATCTTGTCCTCAATTCTATCTTATAATTGCACCAATAAAGCGTATCTATCTTCATCATATTTTTTATTTCTAACAATTCATATTCTCATATAACGTCCCGTAAATTGTCAGTATATAAACTGAATTCAGTTGTATTATGCTACTTAAAAAATATTCAAAGTTTTGCCCTGTAGCTTAATCAATAAAAAAAAAAAAAAAAAAAAAAAAAGAAGAAATTCGAAAGCCTTGTTCGAATAATATTGTAAGGCACATTTTCGACACGTCCCAAGTCTCTCAAGTTTTCAAGTGAGGGGTGCGTTTTATGGAATCGAAGTCGGAAAGCGACTCGAGAGATCGACTATTCAAGACCCACGCTGTCTCGAGAAAAGTAGTCGCCATGCGTTAAAATAATACGGAAAAAAAAGAAAAGTATTCATCTATGTATACGCAAAAAGTTTTCTTGAAAAAACATGTAAAAAAAAAAAATTACATATACATTTATAGTTTACATATTCGTCGCATTAAACAAACGACGAGGCCTGTATACATCAACATTACTGCTATTATCCACCCAAATCCATCGGATTCATCTGCATTGATTTCAAAAGTAACAGAATAATTCTGTTCTGACAAATCTATTTAACATGTTAAGAAATATCACGGTGCATCTTTTTTAGCGATTCACAGTGGTTTTCCACTATTCCCTTTAACAAATAGCACACTACTCTTCTCTGGTAGCGACGGGAAACAACGTTAGATATTGCAATAAATATGGTATAGCAAAAGCTTGACGATGCATGCTCCGTTAGAACCTGGCTCTGATGTAAACAGCAGAAGCATCATGTTCTCCATAACCAAGGCGTTTAGCGTGTTTGTAAACTTCATTCGCTGCAGCAGCCAATGGTAATGGCTGTTCTAATTGATCGCTCATACCTAAAGAGAGTCTTAAGTCTTTTTGCATATGCTGAAGTGGTAACTGTGTAGGAAATCCACCTTCGATGATAGCTAAAAAATTAAATCATATTATCGATATCAAAGAATTAGATGTAATTTACTAATGATCGATCAAAAGAAATAAGAAAAAAAAAATGATAATAATACCTTTCCCTTTGTCAAGAATAGCAGGACAAGCCAATGATGTTAATTCTAAAACTTCAAGTACGTCCTTTTGCTGAAGGCCAGCACGATCTGCTAAAGCCATGCTCTCGGCCAAACCAGCAAGAGTGACTCCTGCCATTAATTGAAGCACGAGATTCATTTTGGAAGCATTGCCGACCTCACCGAGATAAAAACTATTTTTCCCCATTGCTTCGAAGCAAGATTGACATTCATCGAATAGAGTTCGATCACCAGCCGCAAGGATCACCAACGTACCCTCTTGTGCTTGCGTTTTGCTACCCTGTACTTGAGCCTCTAAATAGCGGCCACCTTTTGCAGTTATTGCCTCTGCGATATCTTGTGATGTTTCTGCATCTATACCAGTCATTTCTACATATCCTTTCTCTGGAGATATTTCCGTAAGGACTCCACAATTTCCAAACACCATCTAAATAATAACATTTTTTATAATATAATATAATAACAAAACAATGACAAAATTATATGTAAGATAATTTAAAAGATAAATTACATTGTTACTTACATCTTTAGCTGCTTGAGGATCCGCTACACAAGAAAATGTAATATCGGCAGCGAGAACCACATCGGATGGTGTTAAACCTTGTTCTGCCCCAGCTTTTACAAAATCTGCGCACTAACCAAAAAAACAATACACTAAATTTAAATTTTTTAATTTTTTAATTTAAATTTAAAATTTTGAAAATTGATGAGACCAACCAATCAAAACATGGAAATATAAATTTATACATAATATTTCATTATATAAAGAAATAAAATAATGTACTTAAATAGAAAATATTTTTTTATTTTTCTTTTCAATTCATAAATTAAGCTTGTTACGGCCCTGATAAGTTTTGATTTAGCATCTTAGCGACACCGCTCGGTGCGACATGGTACTGCAAAAAATCTAACGATAGCGGCTCCGGTAGATGTCGCCACAACGAGCCACTCGCCATTTGCGTCGCCATTCAGGTCACGTACGTAGTCTCAACAGCTTCGAAGCTAAACGTTTCCAGGCTTGCTTGCCACATCAGCAAACGACGCCATTGCATCATTTAAAGATATTTCCCGCATACGGCCAAAAGGTGTATCTACATATTCATTGAGATTCAAAGAATTATAAATTCATTTAACTTTATATGTAGCGTAAAACGAAATATGTTCTGATGAATTTCTAGAAATTTCTAAACTTTCCAATATT